ATAGAACAAATGAAAGTTGCTTAATGGCACTCCAGATTTTTACATGTATTTTTCGATTGTCATTACATGTCCCCAGGAGGAAAAGAAATTTTATTTTTTGAATTAAGATTTGTTTCCGGTTGCCATTAATGGTGCTTCAAAAGCTCCAAAAACACGGAATTTTATTTTCGTTAAATGTCATGCACAAAGGTTCCACGTAGCCATAACGTGGGAAATTCTCACATGCGCACATCGCCGATGATGAATATACATGGAATAAAAGTAATAAAAGTAAGAAAACAGAATATGTAAAACGAAATATTAAAACACACACACACACACACACACACACACACACACACACACACACACACACACACACACACACACACACACACACACACACACACACACACACACACACACATACATACATATATATAAGACGCAAGATAAGAATCAGGAAAGAATTACAGAAAGAAGAGTAAAGCGAGAATGTATATAATGATTAAATAAACTAGGGAATATCTGGAGAAATAAAGGTAAGGAGACGCGTCGCCACTCCATATTTGCCATGCACTGGCGGGGCCCTGGGATTATCGTCATCATCATTGTCATTGCTATCATTATCATTATCATTCTTCTTATTATTGTTAGGATTTGTGTTGTTATTATAACTGCTCTTATTACTGTTAGATTATGCTATGGATAGATAGAGTTTTTTGGATAAAATGTTTGTTTATTGGGTCATGGGTATGAACTGGTGATGATTCATGCTGTTTTCCGTAATAACGTTTTCCGTGATAGCGACAATGGTAATTACAATGTTAACGTAAATAATAATGAATATGATACTGATGACAGCGATGATGTGATATAATACTAATATCAAGATATGATAGTAATAATATGACACTATCATTTGGATTTTGCAATTAAGTTAAAGCTCAATGAAATTAACAAAAGCTTGAGCTGCTTGGCTTCGAAGATATGGCGCAGGAGCTTGGCATCAGGAGAAGGAAGCATTGGAACAAACGGATAACAAGACAAAAAGGGTGATGGCAGCGACCGAAGCATTGCATAAGAGAAGGGTGTTATTATATGCAACATATATGCTTCCAGACAGAGAGGAGGAAGGAGCTTTAGTGACTGTGAAAGACGTGTTAAAGGAGAGGAAAGGCACATTGAATGGCTTGCGAAGATAATTAGCTTTAGAAGAGGCGCAGGTGGTGTGAGAACAAATGGGTGTGTACCTGAGAAGCATTTTAAGAAACAGAGGGAGGAAGAAGCTAGCGGGTGGAAAATAACGTTATGAATGTTTTTGACTAAAATTAACATTGTAAATGAGGTAAAGTCATGGGAATGAATGCTAAGATCGTGTCTGAAACCAAGAACAAAGGTTTTAATATATGCAGCACAAGCGCAGTCTTTGAGGGTTATAATAACGTGAAACCATGGATTTAGGACTGTATTACGCAATGTATGCAGGACACGCCCAGCCTGCATACATAACATGGCAATGTATTCCAAATGGTGTATTGATATATATTTGATATACAAGTCAAGCAGTAGTCTTCACAGAAAACATGCCAGACAATAGTCTTGATACTATGGGATTTCAGTGTATATTGTGACCGAGTGACAAACAAAATTGTGGTTAAAGATAAGATAAAGAAAGTTTTTACTTCGTTATTGACATTGCATTTCCTGGAGATGAATATGCAAGAGATAAGACCAGGAAAGGTTTCAAACGTACCAGGATTTATGCCGTGGGGCATAAAAAAGGACGGAAGTAGTGCTAGTCGTGGGAACCCTTGAAGTGGGAACGAGGAAATCAGAATTTGGGACGAAAATGTGTGCATATTAAGACCTGCATAGAAGAGCAAGCCCTCTTCAGAAATGTGAAGAGCAGAAAAGCAGCATCTTGCGCAGTCAAAATCCATAGGACCTCTGGTTTGTTGCAACAAATATTGGGTATATTTCACCATGTTACAATAGCCAAGAATACTGTCAGGATTATAAAACTATGGTATTACACGACAGTGTTACGTTGATTTTTTGTCAGCTGTATGTGCAGATCATAAAAGTAATTTTGCACGTCCCTAAACATATTTTCCCCCTCTCTATAATCAAATTACCCTCATTACAGGTGATTATGAGCAGGGGAGGCAAAAGGCCTCCAATGCGTCTCGGAACTGTAGTATTTCGTCACTACACTTCACCGCATCCTCACTGTCTCTTTTCCCTACAGGTGATGGCGGAATACAGCCGGGTGACGAAGGCCTGCAACGAGCGCGGGGAGCTATGGGAAGACCCGGACTTCCCTGCCTCACAGACGTCTGTGTTCTACCACCAGACTCCGCCATTTACGTTCACCTGGCGACGACCTACGGTGAGTGCGGTCCAATACTCCAGCCCCTTTTCCTTCCTCTCCCCTCCTCCTCTTTTGACTGCGATACAGAGGCTTCCCCATTACGTGATTGTGCTTACCTGAAGGTCCCAAAGCCTCTTCGTACTACTG